AAGTCACAGCTTGCAACGCCGAACAGTGCGCTGCCCGCCTGCAAAATCAATGCTGTAACCACTATATGCGGTTTCCATAAATTGTTGGCCCCTTTTTGGGTGTACCTGTAACATGGTTTTTTCTCCTGGGATGTACATCCGGCCTCCCATTTCTGGAAACACCCATACAATTCCAGTTTCAATTTCATTTTCCATGTTTGTTTCCATGTGATTCTCCATTATTCTAACCCTAAGCATTGCATAACCGTAAGGGCACAGCCCTGAACCATAGATCCGAAACTCCCAGCCCGCGCAGAACCCCAGTTGATCAACCAATTCTAGTTGCCGATCCAAAGAGCAGCTGCAGTCTTTGCCAGAACCAGCTGCTTCTTCGGGGGTGATGCAAGCTTCGCACCTAGTTCATGTAGATTTTCCTTTTTGAGCGCACTGGGAGGTATTTGGAGCTCGTGTAAGTCGCTGTCCAAAGGATAAAGGCTCGACAGTAGAACTTCAAGAAGGTTCCACACATAGCTTGCTGCTTTGCCGGTCGGCTGCCTGTCAAGAGTGTTGCAGGCTTGCATGGAGATCTCGAGAGCTCTTGAAACTACAGCAAAGTCCATAGCAAGAGTAGGTTTGCGTAGAGTAGAATGGACAGGGACTCAGTCTGACGTAGTAACCTGTTGCATATTATCTTACTGCGACAAGATAGGCCAATCAATGTCTTTCGTGTTGAGGGATCCGCGGCTCTTACAGGGGTTCCTCGATGTACTCCTATTTTGCGGCTTGCATTGACTTTTCCGTGACAGGACGCAAAAGATTCGCGACTCAGAGGGTCCTAGAACGCCAGAAATGAACTCTAGTCAGAACAAAAAAAGGCCGGAGCCCCAAGTCCTAAACCCAAGCCTATGCCCCACGCCCCAATTCTTACACCCTAAGCCTACTAAATCCGATCTAAACCCTCACCTGTAGCCACATGAAATCTCACAAGAAGGGCCTTCAAACAGGAACTTCTGGACTCAACTACTGCCAGCTCCACGAACGAGGTGCGGTTCAGGGTTCAGGGCTGGGTCCAAGGTTAAAGGTTGAGTTCAGGGTTTAAGCTGCAGGATTTAGGTTTGTAGACTGAAGCGTGAATAAGTTTAGTTTTGAGGGTTAGCAGTGCGAAGTTGCGAGCCCAATTTCCCTAAGCCCATTTGCGGCTAGCCCGAACTTGATGTCATGAACTTCTTCATCAAGAACACCTAAGTTGGTGCTGGCCTCAGCAGGAAGGGCTACTATGCAGCAGTGCGAGACCTTGCAAGGAACTTACCTCTTCTAACGAAATCCGATCCTAACTCCTACAGCCGCGCACCCCTAGATGATAAGCCCACCGACCTCAACTTGTGAATCCTGCTCAAGGAAGCTTGCGAACCCTCCAAAAATCCTGACCCAACTCCAGCAGGAGAACACAATGGTGGTTGCATCCGATTCGTTTTTGTAACTGCAACCGGATTAGAGCCAGGGGTGGGGTTGCACTACCACAATTACTGTTGAGCATGACTACCCTCTGGATGTCCAACTAAGCCCGTGAACCCAGAAACCTTGGCTCCTTCCCAGACTCCTAAGGGATCCAAAAAATTGAACCCCCCCGATATGAACCCGTCACTACATTGGGAAAACTAGGGGATCATTAGGGGGTTCCATTTTTTAGATCCTTTAGGGGGTCTGGGTTTACAGGAGAAAGCACCCCTCAGTCGCACGAACGAGCTTCTGACGTCCTGGCCTCAGCAAGGTTCAGTCTTGCACACGCCCAAATGGAGTCTGGGATACTTGAACCGGAGGTGTCCGCTTTTTTGGATTAAGTTTGCCAACTAGTAGCTGGGTCTGTCTTCCTGACAGCAGAGTTGAACGCATTGTGTTCATGATTCTTGACATGAAAACCAAAACATGCTGAAATTGGTGGCATTGAGTGCTGGGCGGTTGCGGTGTGCTTTGTTGTGGGGTGAGAGTCTTAGGTTTTTCCTAACAGGTTTTGACAGGTATCGGGCTGCGTGGCTTGCAAATTTCTCAGCCCCAAGCCTCCTCTGAAACCTAAGCCTGAAAGATTTAGACCACAGCTGACTGCAAAGGGGAATACCCGCCAATACCTGGGCCCAGAGTTACCCATTTTATGACCTCGCATAGGTCGACGACACCCTTTTAAGAACTGATCTGCTGTAAAGCATGCTTACGGGATTGGAAGACATAGCAGAGGAATACAACATGCGCTTCAATCAGAATTCTTACTGAAAGCAGATGGCACCACCCGAATCAGATTTAAGCATGGTTCCTTTCTTTTTGCTAAAGAAGTCTTCAAGTAGTCGGGCAGTCTTTTTGCTAGACAAGACCATTTGAGGTAGCGTTCCTAAATCCTGCTGCATTGGCAGAGGAAGCATACAAGAAACTTAGGCCGGTATGGAACAGCTCATTGGGAGTTCAATCCAAACTCAAAACCGTTTCAAGCCAAATTTGTGACTACGGTTACTATCCCTATTTAACCCTAATAGGTACCCTATTATAATGTAGTAGTTTCCTTTCTATTTTCCATTTTCCCTATATAACCCTAACCTATCATATGGTCTGGATGCCCTCACATTGACCGCCCTGCAGCTAGCCAAAAGAGCCTTGTTCTATTAGCATTCTCGTTTGAATTGCAGGCATTGAAGCCTCCTGCTATTGTCCCCCTTCAGTAGATAGAATATGGCTTTGGGTATATTATACTAAGATCCCCATATGCCCCATATTCTATCTACTTAAGGGGACTATACTCCAGTATCCCTAACACAGAAGTCTACAATCGAGTCTGATGGTCTCAACTTTTTTCACAATCACTGAGCGACGAGGTCTTTGTAAGTCTCCTATGGACGAAGTATTTGACTCAGGAGTTTCCACAGGATTCCCAACCAGGGCCGAAGAAGGGGAATGCAGTTTTCACACTGGCCTGAGGTGATATAAGCAATGCCTTCCCAAGTTTTGGATCCAAGACCATACTGCGCGAAGCCCCGACCCGCAGTATGAGTCATATCAAGTGGCATGAGCAATGAGCGATGACAGACTCGCGCGCATGGCCTTAGCAAAATAAGCCCGACAAATTTCAATCGAAGCGGATGGTACAGGACCTTCGGCGGCGATGATGAGTTCTCCTTCGTGAATGAGTCCAGTGCGCAGGCTGAGCGAGTAGTTTGTACTCTTGCTGTGGATGTCGGCTTTCCTAGGACATATGTTCCCCAGTAAGAAGTGAGGCTACCCGTAGCCATTTTGTCTTGGCCGGAGGCTTTTCAGAAAAGTAAGAGGCATCGTTGTGGGCCTTCGCAGTATCCAATCTCTGATTGTGAGCATACAGCAAACAAGCGCGACTTTCGCACGCTGCCCGAAAACTTGACGACTGCCGAGGATTTCAGGAAGGTCACGCTTTGCGTTCAGGCAGGTCATGGTTCAGTTCAGGAAGCCCAAGCAGACAAGGTCCTGCAATGATTACTGTTGCTTCAAATGGGTGTCCACGCGGTTCCACGCGAGCTTCAGCAAGGGTAGGGTATGCAAGCCTAGGGCTCCCTGCTCGAGTCCGCGTGGACCGGAAATCTGCAACACCTTTGTCCGTGCCTTGCTGACGGCAAGTGTTTCACGCAAGAAGCGGCATGCTCCCCTTCCAATATGGGCTTGGGTGAGCACGTCTGGAACTATCCCAGCCCAGGCAAATTAGGTGGGAATTGTTTCTGCAAAGGCCAACTGGTCCTTGCGATGTCAATAGCAGAAGTAAACTTGCAGTCCTACATTTCCTCAATCCTCAAAGTCTCGCCAACCCTTCATGGGAAGGAGCTGGAGACGCCGCAGCCGAAAGTTGCCCACAAGCTGGAGGCATAGGGTTCAGCATGTAGGTGATCACGTTGTTCTTTTTAGCATTGTTTTGTGGATTGTTGTTGAGGCTGAGAGCTAGGATAGGCTGGGAGATTAGGGTGCGTGGGGTTTGGGAAGCTTTTTTCAATTTGGGCTTTGGTCTCGTACTTGCCCCATCTTTGGTGGCCCTGAAGGCCTCACCCTGCTGTAAAGCATTCTGACATCGGTGGCGAGGAACAGGAGGGTGCAACAATGACAGCAAAGATATAATCCTAACATAATCCTCATTAAGCAGGGTGTTCAAGCTCAAAACTTACAAGACGCTGAACAGGATTTGAAGGGAAAAGAGCTCTTCAGGTGCCTGCCTCCGCCCAGCGAGCAGCCTTCAAGGAGAAGGTCTTCTCATTCGGAGCCCAGGAGCCCAGACCTGATGTTGGCTGAATATTTAGGGGGTTTGAGTCAGGAGGACCTGGCAGTTATGCAGTTCCAACGGTCAAGATTTTCGGTTTGCTAGCAAGTACCCTCGTCCGGTTCAACATGTGGCCCAGTCCCCCACTTCAAGACTGCGGTGATTTTGGAACATGCTTCATGATGCAAGGGTTTTCCTGATGACAGCTGCTGAGTTTGCCATCGTTCAATCCAACAAGCTGACATGAAGCTGTCCCAAGCAGCCCATGGGAGTCGAGCTTACTGGCACGTTCGAACGGTCACTCCTCTCTCCTTCATGTCTCCAGCATACGACAGCCGACAGCTTAGCGGCGAGCGCTAAGGCGAAGTCTTGCCGTGCCATGTTGGAGAGACACCAGAAGTTCCGTGAAGTATGCTTATTCATAGAAGCATATTCTCCTAGCATCCTACCTCTTGTTGGAGTGCCTAAGGCATCATGTTCCCAACAAGTTCAACTCCACACATCAGCGTGCCTGGAGGGCCGATTTTCACTACAGCGTCCACGCCTCCCATAGTATCCCTGCAAATGTTAAGAACCCCCCCAACATTGGCCTGCTGTTGACGCACTTAAAGTCGAAACCGCATCCTTTATCCCTTGCTATATGCCCAGTTATTGGAAATTCAACTTATGTTCTTCAAGCCCTGGACCCTAAACCCTAAACCCTAAACCCTATCCGTAGACACTAAACCCTAAGTTTAACAGCAGCTCAGAAAAATGGCAGGGGGAGGAGCCTGGCTTTGTCCACACCATGCCCAAGTCGCAGACCAGTGAGCTTCAGGACCGGCTTCAGGTGAGTGATAGCTTTAAAAGGGAATATGTATATATATATATGTATGTATGTATATACATATATGTATACATATATATGTATGTATATATATATATATATAGGGTTAAGGGTTCAGGGTTTAGGGTTTGGGGTTCAGGGTTTGGGGTTTCGGGTTTAGGGTTTTAGGGTTTCATGGGGGTACATGGAAGGGTGTAGGTTTATGTAGGGGTGTTAGGTGGCTTTAATGGGGCTTTAATGGGGATATATGGGCGGGCATAGGGGTATGTAAGGGTGTTAGGTTTTTAGGGTGTAGAGTATTCTAGATTGGCATGCTGTTGTCTTTTTATACTCGAATCACATGGACAACTAAATGGAAAATGAAACGGCAACTGGGAATATGCCGCGCTATGTAAACTGTGCACAATGGGGATACTTTGCTACCCAATAGAGAGTATTAGTACATCCTCCGTTTGGGGGTAGATTGGGTAGATGTTCTATGAAGAATCTAGTCTTACTTGGTTCAACTACTACAACAACACGACTGAGGTGTTACATATGCAATCCAGTGCAGGCTGACGTTTGTGCTTCAGGAGTCTTAATTCAGGGTTTAGCGCCATGAGCTGGAGTCTGTCCGTCTTTGAACTAAGCCGTACTATGCACCACCGAAGTCACGCAACCCGCAAGTCCAACACAAAAGCCATGAACTGTTGCGCATGGCAGGATTCGGTGCCATTCCAGGCAGATCCCTATGAAATCCGGAAGCCAAGTACGCGTCACAGAGCGCAGGATGTCAGAGTTTGGGGAGTGTCGGGTGCAGGATCCAAGGCATACATGGCGTTTGGCCGGTCCACACAATGCTTCGTTAGAGATGGGCTGGAGTCTCTAAAGGTCAAGGGTGTGCTAAAGGGTGTTAGGCGGATATGGCAGCGCAAAGGCAACAGGGCAGGATTCCTGGCAAGGATGATTGTTTGCGGTTGCTCTGCTGCGCCCAGGTCGCTTTGCGGATGCAAAGGCTCCAGTGAAGGCGGGCTTCTACTTGCGTCGCGCAGTATGCCTTCAATTTGAGACTTCTTCAATAGTTCCCATTAAGTACCATTACAGCGCTACACGATGCTGCTGCTGCTGCTGCTGCCGCTGCTGCCGCCGCAACCCATACGGCTCTTAGTACAATTTATCATCAGTATGATCTGACTTTCAGTACTGTCATGATTGATTTTCATGATGGTCATGATGTTTGGTACTGCTGTTGCCATGCCTGATACCCTTTGCCATGCTCTGCGTTCTGATTGACACTCTTATTATCTCTTGATAGTATCATCGTCATTTATGATTGTTGTATCTCTCCCTTCGCTCCAGTACTATTGTTTTGCTGTCTATCCAGGAGGGTTCGGCACCGCGGACGCCCAACACGAACGCCCCGGACTCGTATGTAGCCTTTTACTTCCGGGCTAAGGCTTCGAATGGACTCTGTGGATATGCAGGGAAACGGGGGTCCTCTGGGCAATAAACAGGGCTGGTAGGGTCTCTGTCTCTGTACATGTTTGTTAGCATCCCAGTCAGTTTTAATGGGGCACAGGAGCCTTAGATACCATTTGCAAGGGCAGGCGGGGTATGGGGATCAGCGGTATTCGAGTGTTTTCAGGGATCATATGTTTTTTTTCATGAGTTCACCTGATGTGTTAGCACGGTCAAATAGTCTGACTGCAAAGGCAACAATCTTAAAATGTTCTTTTGCAGTAGATATTCAGGCAACTGAGCTTTGTGGAACGCCGTAGGTACTGTTGATGGAAAAGTCCTGCACCGCCACAAGTACCACAGACTTTGGGTCTTACAGCAGTCCAGGGACCCAGGTGTTGCAAGTTTCCTCCATCAGCAGCATTTCCAAGTATCGGAAGCCAGCGATCATGGCGACATGGCCATCTCTAAGCGTAGTAATGGTAAGTGTTTCTTTTGGATCTGTATACGGGGAACTTCCAAAACAGCGCTCACTCCCTGGACCCACGCAGATTCCCTGACATTTGAAACCACCTATGAGACACAGAAACCTTCAATGAACATTTATGTGATTCCTGTGGCCGACATTGAATCCCTACACAGCCCCTTTGCGCTCAACACATACGCCTTGGTGGGAAGGCAGTGCACTTCAAAAAAACTCGAGAGGAGAATGCAGATGCCATAAACTATATAGTTCATATTTCCCGACATTCCCTGCTGAATCAGGGGGTCCTACCCACTCCCACTGCCATCTTGATCACGACCATCACTTTGCATCCCACTAAAATAGGAGTTTCCATTTTCTTTCCATTATCCCTATATAACCCCAATATATACTCTATTATAATGTAGTAGTTTCCATTTTCTTCTCCATTATCCTTATATAACCCCAATATATATAGTCTATTATAATGTAGTAGTTTCCATTTTCTTTTCCATTATCCCTATATAACCCCAATATAATCCCTATAATCCCTATATGTAGATCCCCTAAACCAAGACCAGAAACTTAAGCTCAATCCCTGGAGTCCTCAGCCTTAAAGCCCTAAGCCCTAACCATGGACATGTAGAGGTTTCCAACAAGAACTGCCCACCCCAAGGAATGCCTCGTAAAGGGCTCCTCTTTCTACCGGAGGGCCCCTAAACCTTGAGCCCTGGACTCTAAATTCTGAGCCCGTGCTTTTGGCAGCAAAACCCTCAACCCTAAGCACTATGACCCCTGTGTGACCCTAGGTTCTATCCCTGATAGTTTCCATTTCCGTTCCCAGCCCCTATAGTCCCCTACATATGCCTATGCGCACCTGTATGAGCCCTATACACCCCTCTATAATCACTATACAACCCTAGATAATCCCTAAACCCTATAATCCCTCAACCCTAAGCCTTAAACACTATAAACTCTATAAACCCTATAAACCTTATAAACCATATAAACCCTAATTCCTAAACCCCATACCCTGAACCCTAAACCTTAATCCCTACCCTAAACCCTAAACCCGCAATAGCACCCCTGTAGGTAGTCCCCTATTATAATGTAGTAGTTTCCATTTTCTTTTCCATTATTCCTATATAACCCCAATATAATCCCTATAATCCCTATATGTAGATCCCTAAACCAAGACCAGAAACTAAACTCAATCCCTAATCCCTAAACCTTATATGGAGATCCCCTACACCAAGTAGTCCCCACAGCCAGCCCAGGTGCGGCTCCCGCGGCTCGGGGAGCTCCCACGCTGCCCCGTGGTGAGCCGAACCTCTTTCAAGGCCCGCGACTTGAACTTACCGGTAGTTAGCAGGGAAGGAGGGAATTTCTTATATATAGATATACATATAATTCTACATATATGTATATACAACACACTTAAGGTTTAGAGTGTAGGGTTTAGGGCGGGAAGAAGGGAATACATTATGTAGTGATTATAGTTTGGAGTGTACAATCGCTTATTCCCTACGAGAAACCAGCAAGTGAAGAGGCAGAAGAAGGAGTAGTAGTGGTGGTCGTGGTGTTGCTGGCAGTGGTATGTACTAGAAGCAGTAATAATATGAGTATAGTAGCAGTAATGGTAATAATACTAGTAGCAATTAATAGAAGGAGAATCCACTAGACATCCCAGGCATCTGACCGCATGCTCGGCTGCCCTGTGCCAGAATATGCGGACGTCCTCCGAGTTGTCCAGGCCACGTGTTTTAGGGTTTAGGGGGTAGGGGTCTTTTTTGAAACAGAAGGGTTCATCTTGGTGCGGATTCGATCTGTGACAAAAGCTGTTTCAGCAAGCCGCGTTTCAGCTGAACCTACTGGCTTAGCGCATCTTCAGATTCATGGTGATGGCTGTCATTCAGGCCACATCTATCCACTGCCTTAAGACTGTGGTGGATGCAGCCCCTCTGGGCAGGTACACTGCCCTAAACCCAAGCCTTAAGTTCTTGGTGGTTAGTAGGGAGTGATGGAGTGAAACATACGAATCCTTATTGAGACCTCTACAGGAGTACTACAGGGACCCATTCCTCCATTGCCTACTAACAGCAGATTCCATTTTCTGTTGAATTCCTCAGGAAGCTAAACCCTGGTCAGGGCCAACTGGTCTTGGGACACAGCTGGCCAGCAGATATGCCGTCAGCTTCGATCCTATGCTCCCTGACGCGCTGGTGGCCGCGGCCTGTTTGCCCAAAGAGAAAGTACAACTTGATGCTATCTGATAGCTTTGTATATTAACCCCTCTCCCCTAATATGAACCCCCCTCCCACCCCGCCCTGATATTAGATACTCCCATAGTGGTATATGATAATATATCTGGAATATTCAATATTAGCTACGCTAAGGTGGAAGTCTTGAAGCCCTGCATTGAAAACTGGGCTGTGCTCGTTGCAACTGGTGATCATCTGCTTCTGGATGGGTCAAGCCTGGGACTTCGATCCACCATCCCACGAACTCGAGATGCGGCTGTAAGGGCCCAACCCTAACCTGAATCCTTCAAACCTTCATTACTGTCATCATCCAGAAGGCAGAAGGTAGAACACCAGGCGCTGAGCATCAATCATGGTCTTGTGAAGTGTTTAGAATGACTACATCCCAAACCATGAACAATCAATTTCCAGCCCCGTTTAAACCTAAACTCCACATTCTAATCTGTAATTCAATGCCCACCCTCCAAACAAGTAGCCCGGTCTTATCCCGAGCCAACTGCTACATCCTCTGGCATATTCCAGACTCCTCAGATATCTCAAGCCTCCAATCCACTTACCCAAAGAAGAACCATAGCCCTCAGAGCAGCTACCCTAAACCCTTGACGCTACAGCATTAGCTACCCCTAAACTTAATGGGGGCTACCAGGGAATAATGCAATTATGATCCTTATAGAATCGCTATATGATATATTCCCTTGTTCACTACTAGAGCTTCAATACATACCCTACTATACTATAGTAGTCTCCACTTCCCATCATCCCTATTTAACCCCAATATATTCCTTTATTCCCTCCTAACCCTAAACCCTAAACCCTAAATAGTAATTTCCATTTGCTTTTCCATTATCCTTATATAACCCTGTATAACCCATTATATTTCCATTATCCCAATAACCCTAAACCTGTAAGCAGACCACTGCCAGGTTCCTGCCCTATCTTCTGCTTGTGGCTGTGGCGCTGCCGGCAGGAATCCTGGGCCTGGGAACGGCTGAGGCGGAAATTGGGGAGGTGGCCACTTGAGGCTTCGTTGATGAACTTTGGTTTCTTCGATTACAGCCCTGTACCCTATACCCTATACCCTATAGTCCCCCTTAAGTAGATAGAATATGGGGTATATAGGGATCTTATTATAATATACATAGCCATATTCTATCTACTTCAGGGGGACTATAAACCCTAAACCCTGTATAGCAGCGCCTTCTTGTTGTGGCAGAGGGCAGATGTGTGGCTTTCCTTTGGAGGCCTTCGTCGTGATCGCTCCGCTGGCGCTGGTGCTGCACATGGTGCAGGCCTGCAAGTAGACATCACAGACTCCATGAGTTGTTCAGCTTTACCCCGTACCCCAAACCAAAAATCTAGGTACCTTTATAATATGAGTCACTACATCTGGGATCTCATCGTCATTCGGGTCATTGTCGAGTTTTCCACAACTCAGAGACATGAGCAAAGTCCTACCTGACAACCTAAACCAGTCCAAAACCTCAAACCCTACACTCCCAACGGCGGCTTCCATGAATTGGGGTACCCATTATATACCCCAATCTAATCCAGTCCTTGCTATAGGTACTCCTCCAGAAAGGGCCCCCAAATCTTCCCAACATGTCCGTTAGGCAGTAACCCTGACTCCTGCAGGCCTTGCGCAGGGGCTGCTGGGATCGGCGCTTGCTGGCAGCTGTGCCGACCCCAGAAGATGCATCCCATCCCCGTAGATTCGGGGTAGGGTGCAGGGGCCAGGGTCGGAGTCGGTGGGAGGGTAGGGTATGACAATGCAGCCCCCAAGCCCCTAATGGTTCGCAATCTTCATATGAAGAGTATTACATGGGGAACACTTATCGTGAGTTAGTGGATGGGGTTATTATCAGGGAATTGGCTTAGTCTTTGTTGGCTTCGATCTTGGACCAATGTGAGATGCAATTTCAGTGAACTGCTCTACTCAGGACATAATTTGGTCTGTTAACATCTGTATGTTTTTGGTCATCAGGAAATTCAATACGATGGCAAAAGGGATATGACGTCGGTTCTTACAGTTGAGAGTACTAGGCTAAACCATGCGCGCGAAGCCGGCAGGGGCTCATTTGCATGACCACACCCTGAACCTCAAACTTTATGCAGTTTGGGATATTGCCCCAACCTTTGTATGAAAAGTGATAGTTCTTGTCTGTTGTAACTACACTCCCGGAAACTAACATGGAAACCCAAAAAGGCCCTATAAGACTACAGTCCTTCTAAAAGGGG